GTGGTGGTGGTGGTGGTGGTGAGGGGTGGTTATGGTGGCCGGGGAAGTAATAGTGCTCGAACATGATCCATGACGATTATAGGGGTCAGATGGTCATCGTAACTCACTCGAATACGACCGCCGGGTCGTGTGCACCTCAGATTAAATGAAACCTGCAACGGCGTCAATCGCAGTCATCCTAAACTTATGTTTGCCCAAGCCACAGCCTGCAGACGCATGGGCGTTAGGTTTTTAGATCTTGCATTGGGCGATGTCGCTTACTTTAGGCCGCCTTCGGCGTCCGCTCTCTTTCGATGAAGTCGAAGGAGAAAGAGCTAGCTCCTTGCGCAGCACGACAACTCGACAGCTGCTCGTCGGCCTGGGAATGATATTCAATCAGGACCTTCATACCTTGCTCAGGGTCGGCGGATACGGCGGCATCCGATTTCCGACGAGGGAGCAGATGCAGAAAGCCGGTGATAATCTGTTTGGTACATCCGTGGAGACAGTGAGCGTGGACGTTTTCATTAGTCATTCTTGGAGCGCAGGTCGCTGGGAGAAGTTTCTCGCTCTCTGCTTGTATTTGAACCTACAGATGGCCGTCGCATGTTGCATGATGACTTGGATCTTCTTCGTGGTGCTGATGATCTCCTCTCATGGTGTGTTGGGTCTTGGGGGAAGTCACCTTCTGCTTCCCTGCTTTGTGTATCTGCCGATGACCACATTTTTCACAGTCTTCTTCTTTGGGCAGCAGCTCTCTTGCGGCCTGTGGTCTCCTTCTGTTTGGATAGACAGGTTGTGCATCCATCAGACAGATCTGGAGCTTAAAGCCGAACAAATCAAGTCTGTGCCCACCTTCGTTGCGCGTGCTTCCCGCATGCTCATCCTTTGGCGATGGACGAGCTGGCGCTGTGAGTGTTTCACCTTTTCCCTACGATAGGCTGCAATCCACCATCTTGGGCAGGATACGGCCTCGCAATGAACATGAACATGGGTCTTACTTTGAGAGATTGTGGTGCAATCTAGAGCTGGCTACTTTTGCTCGGCACGGAGGTGTGGAGAAGGTTGATGTGTTGCCTCTGTGGCTTGCTCCCTGGCTGCTTTGCTGTATTTCCCTCGAGCTCCTATGTGCCAGTTTGATGGATGTTTCGCAGCTTGTGTTCCCCAACTGGATGCTTGCTTGGGACAAGCACGTCATGGGGCTGGCTGCGACACTTGTGGGAGACCACCCAATCATTCTGAGGTTTGTTGGTTGGCTTGTCATTTGGATGATCTCCTCCATCGCCACGCTCCCGGCCTCTATACCCAGCTTCTTCTCTTTCCGCATGAAGATTCGGCATCACCAGCTTATCTTGGATCAAATGGCAGACTTCGACGTACGGGCGGCAAATTGCTCTGAGCCCTCGGACCGGCACGCCATCGAGAAGCAACTGCAGGAGATGTTTGGCGATCAGGACTTGCCCACTCCCGGCTCTGGCGCGGTGGATGAGGGCGAGGTGACGGTTCAGCGGTTCGTGAACTACCAGGCCGCTGGTGATCCGCTGGAACGCTTCAATGCCTACGTTCGAGGCGTCCTTCGTGACATTGTCATGATGCAGATCGGCGATGAAATCTACGTACCATGGTCGTTGTGTCTGACTACTTGCCTACCTATGATCTTGTATTCCTCTGTGAATGTGCTGGGCTGTGATAGCGGTTCTTGTGATGAATCTGCACGGACAGGAGGCTTTTCCTCGACGCCCATGTACCTCTTGTGCAACACATTGGGCTGGGCACTCATCATCCTGTTGACATTCCCACTTACCTACCCAGTCATGCTGCGAATGCTGAAGTGTGTTCTGTCCTTCGGTGACGGTCTAGCGCAGCGTTCTGCAGCGTTCCTGTGCTGCTTTCTGGCATATGAATACACCTATATGTGTGGCGGCTTGATCTGGGGCTCGTGGCTTCCCGCTGTGCAGGACCCCTCCCCAACTCAGCTCACCATTTTCCTGTTGGTGATGACTTTCTTGGTCACCCAGTGCATCTGCTTGTTCTGCAGATGGGAGAAGCAAGGCCAGGAAACCCTGTCATCATGTCGCTGCGTCAAACGACAGGTCGCGACGTATCAGCCGATCGACGCCTTAAGGGACCTGCCTTCGGCCTCCTTCAACGAATCCCTTCAATGAACCAACGTCAGTAGTGACCAAAGTGCCGCGCTTTCGAGGAAAGACTGTCTTGATCGGCAGCAGTGGGTTCAGCTCAGAGCCAGTCAGCCTCATGAGCCGATCCATGCCATTCCATGCAGGATTTATGCCTGGAGTGGGTGAATGTTTTCCTGAACCCTAATTAATGACAGGTACCCCCCTTGCAGCGATTTCTCCTTCTTTGCCGCATGTGACTCGAAGAGACACAGAGAGCTTTCCGTGATGGATGTGGCGTTCATGAGCTCCCAAATTCGGGAGAAAATACCAGAATGTGAGGCCGGAAGTCCGGAGTTATCAAAAGTGCATGTGATGGGTCCAGTCTTCTTGCAGTCACCAAGAGGGATTAGGGTAGAGGGAGCTCTTTCAAGACAACCCTCTCTTCAAAGGCAGTGAAAGAGAGCCACTGAGGGCATCGTCTCATTGGCTGGTCCCAGGGTAAGAGTGCTAGCTGCTCAATGAGGGTTCGCCCGCGCCCCAGAAAAACCAGCCTGTTCAACACTGTTTTTATGAGGATGTCAAGATGAGGAACCCAGAGAGGCAGGTGATTCAGGGTTCAGGTAGGGCTTAGGGCAGGGCTAGAACTGTGCCAGAGCATAGCATCTCAAGCCCAAAACCCTCGGGGTTGTTCATCCTATGAGTTGCTACCGACCACGGAGTTGCCAGGATCGCTATGGAACTTATAAGACGGAATCC